GTCTAGCTGAGTTTCAATTCGGTACCATATACATTAGAGATGAAATGATTAGAATTGCGTTAAATACTTTAATTAATTAATATACACTTTAATAGTTGCCCACTGTTATTTCAGACCAGATGAACATGTAGCTTACAGCTTATCGACAATATGCACTAAAGAATTAAACAATTTTAGCGACATGCATTGGATGAAATGCGACCGAACTTAGCATACGATGAGGAAGAAACTTTCTTCTTTAAGTGTTCTGAACTTGAGTTAGATATAAGGCAAAGCAGAATATATATATATGTTACACATATAGCTGAACATAGATTTTCTATCAGTAGGACAAACGTCCGTTAGTCTTTCGTCTTTCCATAGATAAAAACCTTTACATTCTAATGGGTGATGATACACCAAGACGTTTGTTTTTTTTTTCTTTTCGAAATAAGTCGATCCTAATAAAATAGACACTGATTAAGGCCGGCAGTTATCATATAACAAGTACGCTTATCAATAGGTTATAACTTACTACTAGACTGATTGCTGACGGTCCGATATAAAACGGGAAATAACGATGATTGCGTTGTTTCTGTAGTAGCAGCAACAGCAGCAGCAGAAGTTACTATTACAACTATAACCCAATTATTATCAGCAAACCTCGTAACGACTTCTCGCACGAAGCCTGTTAAGTTAAGCAGCATTGCTTTGACGGTTCTGGGCCAGTTCCTCTCTTTAAAACAGAATAGTTCCATTCATTTTCTAGGTATTTATTTGGACTATAATCATTTTGAAATTTTTTCATCGCTTACACTCTATTGTCGCAAATCTCCCTTGGTTTAGAGGTTTTGTCATTGGATAGAACGAGTTGGAGCCGCTGTGACGTGTGCTGTTATTGAGGGAACAAAGCTAGCGTTCGTTATCGAGCTAGAAGCCTATCAAACAGACCTAATCACTTTATTACAACTTAACAGGTATAATTGAAGTACTTTCTATTATTGCGTTGCATATACGGAAGTGGCAACAACGGGGTCCATGGGTGCAACAAATGAACAATCCAGCCGTATTTTAAGAACCAATGGCTAATTTAAAAAAGAAAAGCTGACTAGGTTTAAAGTTCACGTTCTAACGGTTATAGGTACAAATGAATATGTGAGTCTAAATTACGACGATAAAAATTTGGATTATCTCTTTCTATTAGAAAACACATGGTTTTGTCAGTTAATTAATTTTCTTATTCAATCAATGATTCCAATTAAGAACATCGGTGCTCTACAACATTTGAAATCAATTTATTTTTCATTATCCGTTTCATCCTTTGCTTTCAGTGTTATCAGTATGAGTCATACTCTTGTCATTACTATTACTTTTCATCACGTTCACTTACTCAACGTGAATTTTTGTGTATTGGCCATTATTGGTAAGTATTTCTTTTTAGCTAGAATTCGCGCAGTTACCACCGTTCCAACTCTCCCCTTTGTCTATTGTCCAATTAAGCGTCTGATCGATCGTCAGTCAAAAACGACTTTTACCCGTTCTTTATTGAGCATCAATAAATAGCTTACTTGTGTTTTTTTTTTTTTGTAGTGTTTTTTCAATCCTGGCTATAATGAATGCTTCCATCAGTCATTCCCCCTCGATCTCCCCTTCCCCGCCCGGGGTTGTCTACCGTGTGTCACACATTTAGCCTTCATTGCAATAGAAACAAACGCATCAAATGTTCTACATTGACAAGTGGTATGAAGTAACATTATCATTAGATATTATAATATTTCTAATGTGTGATTTAGTGAAACGCAGAATAAATTCTTTCTCACACACATTCATGACCGACGGAAAATTTGGCAATCTCATTAAAACAGAGCTGTCTGTATACGTTACATTTTTGGCTTTCTTTATTATCATCGATCGTTGATCGTTCTGATACCGGAAGGTAACGCCAACGGTCCGTTGTGACTCTTACCCAACCTTGACTTTAGCTGCCGTCTGTAACGTAAAGGTTAATTTTTGGGTTTATATTAATTGATAAAGGTTAGCATTTCGTACGTTCGGCTATTTCATTCTTGTCCTGTCAGTTATCACTTCTGCGTGTCCTATCGATATAATGATATATGATGCCTTCGGCCTCCTTTCGTTCCCCTGACCAAATCATACACTTTTCATCTTGAGCTGGTTATAGAAACAAACGACTTCTGAAAAACACGTCTTTTTTTGGTCAGTTATTTTTATCACCCTAGATGACATTAGATTCAGACATAACATCATATTATTGCATATAATATTAGCTGTCTTTCTTGTCAACTTCCGAGGTCCGCTTTTCTCTCTTCGCATATAGATTTACCTCTTAGATGTGTGTATATGAATGCGTGTAGGTTATATATAAATGGACAATCGTTCGTCGAAGTAACTAGTGTTAACGGATGGTGATTTCATCGTTCCAGCTATAACTATTACCAGCCTTTTTGTTTCAATGGTCACCGTTCGATTTCAGCATCAGTAGAATTATTCTAAACGAGCGAAATGAGTGGGTGCGCATTGAGAGTCTCTAGGTATATTTTCGTCGGGGCTCTTCTAATGCTTGTGTCTCCTTTACGCATGGTTACAATCATCAGGATCACAATTCCTGTTACTAATTAGTTGATAATTTATTACCGCTAAATGAGAAATGCTGCTCAAATATGTGATCATTATTTGGTACATTTATACTGTTAAGGTGTTGGCAATTCAGCTTGCTGCTTATCGTCGCGCAGGATAATTTCTATCGTGCATATTCATACTATTGTTACTATCACTAGTGTTCATCTTTCGAAGGAAAAGATCCAGAACCCTCTGCATCCGACAGGTTGAAGACGTAGCAAAAACAATCTATACATTGCACGCAAGAAAGCTTATAAGTTCAATGCATTCCTGCGTCTCCGGACGACGATCAATATCAATCCCCTAGCGGTAACACAGTGTAGTAAACCTGGGAGGGGAAAGGACGCCATATATTTGCACTTAACATTATTATAGTTATTATTCGTATA